CGCAGCGTTGGAGTGCCAGGGAGAAGAGCAGCGGGCTAAGCGGGTCGCCCTGCTGGACGCCGCACTCGGAGCGCAGCGTCTGCTTGCCGAGGAAGAGTAGCGAGGGGCTGCCGTAGCACCAGTCCGCCCAAGGTGCCAGTGCGGGAAAGTCCTCGCGCACTGCTCTGAGGACGGCCGTCCGGTCCAGGGTGTTGAAAGCGCTCGAGAGGTCCAACTTCACGAAAACTTTGTCCCTGTCGCCCAGGTTGCGCGTGAACCACTGCCTGGCCACGTGGATCGCCGCCTCGGCGCCTCCCGGGACGGCCGCGCCCACCTGCAAGGGCGCAAGGCGGTCGCGGGCTGCCCCGGCGACCTCCTTGCAGAGGCACTTGCCCACCAGGCAGCGAAGTGTCTCGCCGACGGCCACCGGGCGGAGGCCGCCGTCGTTCTTCGGGAGAGCCACCAGCGAGGCGCCAGCAAAGTAAGCCGCGACCGCCGCCGGAGCCTGGCCGCGCGCGAGCACGTAGACGAGGCCAGCGAGCTGCTCGACTACCTCGTCCCTGTGGGCTGCCGTCGCCAGGGCGTCCTGCAGGTGTTGCGGGCGCAGGCCAGTGGGGCCGGCGGCCGAGCCCTTGGGGAAGGCCCGCACTTCCTTTTGGACGACAGAGACGTCGACCTGGGCTGCGGCGGCCGCGTGGACAACAGGCAGGCTAGCCAGGTCCACAACCGGCTGCTGGCTGCGGGGGTGTTTGCGGCCCATCTGGTCCACGACAGCCGGCGTGACGGACGCGGGCGGCTCCGACGTCAGCGAAGCGCAGCTTTTCGAGTAAAGCCCCTCCGAAGCCAAGTCGAGGCAGCGCTGTGCTCGGTGAGTCGCCTTGTCCGTTCCCCCTGTCTGGCGCCGCTCTGTCGTCTCCGCCCGCAGCGTCTGGCGCTCTCCCTCCAGCCAGCGGCGGCAGAGGTTCTTGGCTTCCTCGTCGCTGGCGTTCCCTCTGCCTCGGCCTCCGCGGCTGTGCGGTCGCAGCACGCACTTGGGCAGCATGGCCAGTTGGACCCAAGCTGCTTCGGTGTCGCGGTGGACCGCCAACGCCACGGCCTGCACCAAACACTGTGCCCACAACGCCCTGGCCCCCCTGGGCACGCGGCGCCTCGTGCCGGCGCGGCTGGAGAAGACCGCCCTCAGCGAAGGGAGCCCTGGCTGGCCGTTCGCGTCGCCAGCGTCGGCCAGAAGGGCCTGGGGGACCGCGGCGGCAGCTGCGCGCGCCGCTGGCCGGCACCTGGGGCACACTCCCTGGTGGCGCAGACCCAGGAACCGCTGACACACCGAGCATTGGCCGAGGGCGTGCTGGTCAAGGAACTCCTGCGGGACGGGCGGCAGGTTGGGGTAGCGGCCCGCCGCGTGCTCGTTTAAGTGGACCCTCGTGCTCTCCTGGCAGGACCACCCTGGCGAGGCGGCAGGATCCGCGCGCGGGCAACCGGGCGCTGGGCAGTAGACGCGGGGCCGCCGTCGGGCTGCAGGGCGGGGCGCGGCGGGGGCTGGCTGCGGCGGCTCCGCGGCCGGCGGCGGCGCGGCAGCAACGGCTGGCTCCGCAGCGTGCCGGGGTCCCCCCTCTGCCGGCATGGCCAGAGGCTGCTGGGCGCCCGAGGGGGCAGCTCCTTCCAGCGCTGCTCGCCGACGTTGCTCGGCCAGCGGCGCGCCCGCATCCTGGTCCATGTCTCGCGTGTCGTCCAGGCGCATGCTGTTGATTCGCTCGTGGAGGAGGGGGTCGTCGCCGGGCTCATCGCCTTCCGCGCGGTTGCGTCTGAGCGCGCGGCGTCCCGGAGAAGCACGGGCGCCGACCTCCACGAAGGTGTTCCTGACCGACACCGCGGCCTCCGTCTCCATCTGCGCGGGGCCCGCGCTCGATGCACTTGCCGACCCAGGCGGCGGCGCCACTCGTCGAGGCGAGGTGGAGCGGTCGCGCTCCGAGGGTCCTGTTCGATTCCCTACTCCTCGGCGGCAGATGCAGCGCTGGCGCTCGAAGAGGCACGTGTCGCACACGTCGGCATTGGGGCCTGCGGGGAAAGCTGGGGACTGCGCGGCGTGGACGAGCAAGGCAATGTGTCCTACCCATGCCGCTGGCGAAGACAAATGTGTGGAATACCATCCTGGGCTCAATGCAACTGTCATAATTGTCGTGATGGAAATGCACACAACCCGTGGAAAATGGACATCGCCAAGTAGAGCGGCGCCGCAAACTCCGGCCAGGACGCGCTGCAGAGGAGCCCCGTGCACCGCCGCCCCGAAGGCCAAGAATTTCACTGGGGCTGCAGACGCGCAGGAGGCCGCCAAGACCAAGGCTGGGTCGACCGCGCGGGGGATCGTCTGGCCCAGGGTGGCGTGAAAGGACTCGGCCAAGCACGCGCTAGCGAACGCATGAGGGGCCCACCCGAGAGCGGCGACGAGCAGTCCAGGCAAAGGGTGCACGAGACAGTAAGCGCCGTCGATCGTCATCGAAATGACCGGCCAAAACATGCGGTAGATCTTCTTCAGCGGGATCGCGACCGCCGCCGGCGCCCCCGGCCATGCAGCCAGGGGCTTGGCGTCGCCGAGGGGGCTAGCCGCCGTGCAAGAGGCCCCTGAAGCGCTGGCGGCGCAGCTGCGGAGGTGGGAGTGGAAGTACAGCTCCGCCGGCGACGTGCGCGTCGCCTCTGGGCCAGGCGGGGCTGACACAGCGCGTGCGCCCAGGCGCGGGATGTCGGGCGCCATCAGGTTGCAGTCGGCCGGGGCACAGGTCCGCGTGCACCACCGAGATGGGCCAGGCAGCGGCCCCCGCGCGGCGACGTCGCCGTCCGAGGCGTGCGGCGCAGGCGAACGGCGGGCAGGCCCCAGGCGTGAAGGCAGGCAGGCTCCGACGCCGTCCGATGGTACTGATGGCAGCGTGGGCGCAGGCGTGAATATCGACATCGGTGCTGACGTCGATGGGGAAGTCGCTGGCGGTGGTGCTGGCATGGGCGCTTGCGTCGGTGACAGCGCAGGCCCAGAAGTTGATGCTGGCGTCAGTGCTGGTGTAGGCGATGGCATTGGTGGCAGCGTAGGCGCCGGTGTGAATGTTGACGTCGGTGCTGACGTCGATGGGGAAGTCGCTGGCGGTGGTGCTGGCGTAGGCGCCAAGATTGGCGCAGGCGCCAGTGCTCGAGATGGCGCTGGCGTTGGTGCTGGCGTAGGCGCTGGCGTTTGTGCTGACGTCGGAGTTGGCGACGGTGTTCGTGCTGGCGTAGGCGCTGGCGTTGGTGCTGACGTCGGTGTTGGCGACGGTGTTCGTGCTGGCGTAGGCGCAGGCGTTGGTTCTGACGTCGTTGCTGGTGCAGGCGCCATGGTAGGCGCTGGCGTCGGCGTAAGCCTTGGTCCTGGAGTCGGTGCTGGTGTACGCGCAAGTGTTGGTGTCTGAGTAGGCGTTGGCGTTGGTGCTGGCCAAGGCGCCCGCTTTGGTGCTGGCGTCGGTGATGGCGTCGGGGCTGCTGTGGGCGTCGGCGTTGGTGCCGGCGTAGGCGCAGGCGTTGGTGCTGGAGACGGTGCTGCTGTAGGTGTTGGCGTCGGCGCCGGAGTGGGCGCCAATGTCGGTGCTGGCGTCGGTGATGGCGACAGCGCTGGTGCAGGCGCTGACGTTGGTGCCGGCTTAGGCGCAGGAGCTGGTGCTGAAGTCGGCGCCGATGAGGGCGTTGGCGTAGGCGCAGGCGTTGGAACTGGCGTTAGTTCTGGCGTCGACGGTGTAGGCGCAGGCGTTGGAGCCGGCGTAGGTGCAGGCGATGGTGCTGGAGTCGATGCCATCGCATGCGCTGGCGTTGATGCCGGCACAGGCGTTGGAGCTGGCGACGGTGCTGGACTAGGCGCCGGCGTTGTTGCCGTCGTTGGTGCAGGCGTCGACGCTGGCTTCGACGCCGGCGTTGAGACCAGCGTAGGCGCTGGCGTCGGTGCCGATGTAAGCGATGGCGTTGGTGCCGGTGTAGGTGCCCACGACTTTGCTGGCCTATGATCTGGCATACGCGCTGGCGCAGGTGTCGGCCCAGGCGCAGGCGCGGGTGCTGGCGTCGGTGCTGGCGTAGGCCCATGCCTGGGTGCCAGCGTAGGCGTAGGCGTTTGCGACGGTGCTGCTGCAGGCGCTGGCGTGGGCGTCGGTGCCGGTGCTGGCGTTGGTGCTGGCGTAGGCGCTGGCGTCGGTGTTGGTGTGGGCGCCAGCCTTGGTGCTGGCGTAGGCGCTGGCGACGGTGCTGGCGTCGATGCCGGCGGCAGTGCCGCTGCCGACGCTTGCGCTGGTGCCGGCGTTGACGTTGGCGTTGGTGCTGGCGTGGGCGCTGGGGTCGCTGGCGTTCGTGCTGGCGTAGGAAGCGGTGCCCGCGGTGCGCTTGTTGATCGCTCACAACATGGATTGCACCACTGATTCCACCACATGTGTTGTGCGAAATTTTGGCTCAAGCAATTCTAGCTCAAGGGAAATTGGCTCAAGCCAATGCTCTAGCCAAGCGGGGGCGCGGGGCCGCAGCGATGGAGACGCGCTCCGCCCTGCGCCGACGACAGCGGCTGGTGGCCGCTGGCCAGGTCCCGGCCGCGGCGGCCAGCGCACCGCTGCCTGGGTTTGTTGCCAGCGCGCCCAGCGCGGTGCCGGCGGCGCTGCCGACGGCTGCCTCCCTGGAGGCGACCGTCGCTTGCGGCGCTGCTGCTGCTGCCGCCGCCGCGGCGTCCTCTGCGGGCCTCTGGGCGGCGGTCGGGGCCCTGGCGCGTGTCGCGGCGGACGCTATGGAAACGACCGCCCGCCTCGCGCCCATTTCCTGGCAGGCGAGCGCGGGCGCGGGCGCAGCGGCGGCGGCGGCGCCGCTGCCGCCGGGGCTCGCGGCTGGCGACTTCGACGGGATGGTGTTGACGCCCAGAGAGTCAGAGAGAGAGAGAGAGAGCGACACCATGTGGCAGGTGCCGGAGGGCCATGGCGTGTTGACCGGCCTGGAAGTGAAGTGACGTTGGAGGATTTCCGAGCCATTCATAGGCGCAAGTTCGGCCTGGGCGAGGAGGATGTAGAGGGCGATAGGGACGGGTACGCGGAGGAGGTGAGTGAGGCCCGGTGCAATCGCAAGCTCGGCGTGGACGAGGATGACCTTGGCGAGGGCTTATTCGAGAACGCCGACGGCACTAAGCGGCAGGCGGCCGAGTTCTCGATCGAAGAGGAGTACGAGGCCGACTGGGTGGCCCTCGCTCCGGAGTTCGCTTATTTGTTGCCACAGTCCGCTCGGCCCGAGGGGGGGGGCCAGAACGACCCTCAGCTGGCGGAGAGCATGGAGACTCTTGGCCTCGGTGCCCCCGAGGCTGGGGGCCAGGCCGAGAAGAGGGAGGAGGTCGTAGAGGCGGAGGAGGCCGAGGACGAGGGGGAGGAGGTCGCCGAGGATGCGGAGGCGGTGATGGAGGAGGTCGGCGGCGACGACGTCGACGAGGAGGTGGAGGAGGTCGCGGTTGACGCGTGGAGGAGGTCGTGGTGGAGGAAGTCTGGGAGGAGGACGATGTCGAGGAGGCGGAGGACGTCGTGGAGGTGGAGGTGGTCGTTGAAGGAGCCGTGGAGGGAATCGGTGAGGAGGGCGCCGACGACGTCGAGGAGGCGGAGAGCTTCGCGACGGCGGCGGCGGGCCCGGACGGGCGCGAGGGCGTGCGCGAGGACGCCGGCGGCCCCAGGAGGCACGTGTTGGAGGGCCACGTGGAGCTGAGGGGCTTGGGGGCGCGCCTGGAGAACCTGAAGGCCCGGGACAGGCGCAAATTTGACGCGGGCGTGGGCGAGGGCGAACGCGATCCCAGCGAGCAGCACATCGCAGTCGTCGAGAACCCCTCCTACGAGCGAGACGCGACCATCCGGATCGCGCCGATGGCGCGCGCGGAGCGGCCGCTGCAGCCTGCGGCGGCGGGCCAGGCAGCCATGCTGAAGGCCATGCTGTGCGCGGTGTTCGGGGGGGCTGGCGCGCTGGTGGCAAAGGTGAGCATGCCATGCCGAGCGGAAAGGTGTTGAATGAGATGGGCGCGCTGGTCGCGACGGTGAGCCTGCCAGTCGAGATGGAGCAGCCGCCTGACGCCGAGGTGAGCATGCCGGACGAGATAGAGATCCGGCCGGAGGCCAAGAGGAACCCGCCGGACGCGATGGAGAGCCTGCCCGCGGCCACGGTGAGCATGCCAGAAGACGCGGGGAGCCGGTCGGAGGCCGAGCCGAGCCTATCGGACGAGCTGGAAAGCCTCCAGAAGGCCAAGGCGAGCGCGTCTGACGCGTTGGGAGGCAGGCTGGATGCCGAGGTTAACAGGATGGACGAGCTGGAGATCACGCCAGAGGCACAGGTGAGCTTACCGGGCGAGCTGGAGAGCCTGCTGGAGGCCAAGATGAGTATGCCGGACAAGATGGAGAGCCTGCTGGAGGCCAAGATGCAAAACCGGACGAGCGAGATAGGTGAGCATGCCAGACGAGCTGGGAGTCGGCCGAAGGCTAAGATGAGCTTGATGGACGCATCCATTGGCACACTGGATGCAAGGGGGAGCGCGCTGGGCGTCGTCGCAAGGGCGGACCCGTCGCTGGCCGCCCTGAGCTCGATGCGCATCGTTGTGCTGGCCGAGGTCCATGGCTGGAGCTCGAGCGGCGCGTCGGTCGCGGATTGCCTGGGGCGGCTCGCGGGCCTCGTCGCGCGCTGCCAAAGGCATAGTCGCTCGCGGCTGCGCAGAGGGCGAGGTGCATCTGCGCGGAGGCGCAGCCCGCGCAGCGGCTGCGCAGTCGCTCGGGGAGAAGGCGGCGACCCCCCAGCAGCCGAGGGCGAGCTGGGGCACTACCTGCGCAAGGACTTGCTCCACGTGCTTGGCGGGGCGGGCTGCCCGCCGCCCCTCGCGGCCGTGGCCGAGCGCCGCGCGACCGAGGGCGCGTCGCCCGTCGCCCCCGCCGCGCCTGCAGGGCGCCGCCGGCCTCCGCTGCCCCCGCTGCACCCGCGCGGCCCCCGCCGCGACCGCCGCTTTTACTCGAGTGGGATTTCGACATCTTAGACGTCTGCGAGCCGCGGTCCCGAGGGGTTGGGGTCGCCCGCTTCCCCATTGCAGGAATTGGCTGTTTCCTGTGATTGTCCCCCCCCCCCCCTTTCCCCCCAGCAAGTGGATTCTGTCGCGTTCGGGGGCGCCGCGCGAAATGCGGCCGACGGGTCGCAACTCTGCCATTGCCGTGCCCCCCGCGAGACTGGGCGCATTTTGTCGCGGCCAGGCCTCGCCGAGCAATGCTGCCTCCTCTTTCTCTTCCTTGCCTCCCTATCCCTCTGTTAGTTTGACCTGATCATAGCTTTGTTTGTTTCGCTCGGGGGCGCGCGCTCTGCTCCGCGCCATTTTGGCCGGGCGCCTCGCCGGCGGCGCTTCGAGCCCGCGCGGCGCGTTCGCGCCCTGCAGGGCAGCGCGGGGGGCCAGCGCCCCATCGGGGGCCCGCGACGCTGCGGGAGAGGCGCGGCCGGGGGAGAAAGCGACAACATATGTTGCGCGACATGCATGGCGCAACCTCGCGCGCGTAGCGATTATTGTTATCATTCTTATTATATACATATATATACGCCTGTTCGTTGGGCAGACGGACCCCCCAAGGAATGGGCGCCCTCCTTTCGCGCTGCAAGTTGCGTGTGATCATGCCCCACTTGTCGTTCGTAAATATGGACCCATACCACCCCGGGCTCGCCGGCATCCGCCCCCCGTCCCCCCGCGCCCCCCCTTCATCCTTTGCAGACCGTGTTATGCTTGCGCGCCCGTTTATCTCGCATCGCGAGTTTTCGATCATTTCTCGCGCAGAACGGGGCGAAGTGCACGCGGCGCGTCGTCGCGCGCTCATTTCGGGGTCGTTTGATAGAAAACAAGCATTAGGAAATTCGGGGTCGCGCAGGTCTCGCAATTGAGCGTCGCGAAAACATAGGACACATGGCTTCGCAACGTGGGTGTTCAGGAGAAGCTTGCGCTCGCGCCCTTGCTGATTCTTCAGAGCCCATCGATTTTTCGACATGTTCATGACATGCTACCAAGCCGTGCTCCTTCACGAAGTACGCCGCCCAGGGGCGAGCGGCCCAGCCTGGCGAGGGCGACGGCCAAGAAGAAGCGATGGATGAATCAGCAGATACCGCGCCCTTGCCAGCTCCGCCACCAATGCCGCCAGCGCTGCCAGCGCCCACCAGGCGCGAGGCATCTGCCCGGGCGGACCCTCTGCCCAAGGCTGCGTGTGCAAGTTCCGAGGGTGGCGGTCTTCGCGCCAGGGTGGTTGCTTCGCTGCAGCGCCAGCTCGATCGCCAGCCCGAGAACCGGCGCCGTCTCAGCGGTTCGGGCGGTTGTGGGATCCGTGTCCGGTTGCCCCTCACTACCGTTTTCTTGTTCGGTGCCACGGTGGGCGCAGCAGCTCGTGAGCTCCATCTCGTTCCGAAGAGCCCAGCGCCCGAGACCCCTCTCTCTCTCTCTCTCTCTCTCTCTCTCTGGTGCTCAGTCCTCGTTGACCTGATGTTTGTTCCAGCGAGTGCCACATCGATCCCCATGGCGTTGTTCCTCGGCTTCTTGCCGACTGCGCCGCGCCATCATCTCCCTCGCTGGTACCACTTCTGCCCACGAAGCTGTCAAGCTGCAACTCGTTCCAGAAATTTATCGACGCGTTCGCGCGGGTAATATGTCCAGAGAAAAAGTTTCCCACCCATGCCCAAAGCCGAGAGCACTTCATCAAGCTAGATCCCTTTCGCGCGCTGAGGCGTCGCGTGATCTACCTGCAGCCGAGCATCAGGGGGGCAGTTTATTGCGCGCCCGATTCCAGCCCACAGGGCAACTGGGATTTCTTGCGCTGCGTGGAAGAAAGCACGTCGCGACCGTATCCCCTTCGGCTCAGCAACGCGGATGGGGCGCTGGATCCATTCGGCGGTTTCGCTTGGGAGCGCCGTTCGTTGCCTGCCATGAGTTTGGCCAGAGGGGAGACCGCGACGTTCGCGAATCAGAGTATAATTTTGCAGTGCGCCTACTTGGAGGCATCGGAGATTCGCGCTGACAGCTCCAGAGCCGCTTGCAAGGACTACTTGAGCGACCAGGGTGGGCCAGAACGGTCCCTTCGCTTGACTATAGTCTGCAATGCTGATGATATTCGGCAGCTGCTGGCAGACTTGAGTAGCGGGGCGAGACGGTCCGACGACGCAGATGTCGAGAGAAGGGCGCTGTTCTATGCCTCGCTGGGTCAAGTGGACCCCCTGCAATACATGATCAATGCAATCGGGGAAGTGCTCGCGAATCTTCCAGAATGGAAGCGTTAGTCAGACCAGCTCAAGTCTGCGTCGAAGCTCGTGGCCGAGAGAAGTTACAAAGACCGTTGCATAGCAAAATGCATGACTGGCTTCGAACCCTGGGAGAGGCGATCTGCGCGCATGTGCAAGTCCAAGCGCGTCGACTTCAAACTGGAGCATGTCGAGGAAGTCACCCGAAATGCTGCAATGGTCTTTCCTAGAATCAAGAAGTAAGTCAACGCAGATGTGTTCGGTGACGACGCCAGCCTGGCCGAATCGATCAACGAGGCTATCAATGACGACTTCCTTGAGCCCTTTTTACCACTTTTGTGTATATGTTCACGTCCAGCGTTGGCTTGGAGATCAGCTACCACGAAGGCAGCATCAGAGCTGGCATGGAGAACCACCTGGCCACAGAGGCTTCCCGCAAACGAAAGCAAGAGCTGCATAAAGAACGGGGCCCGTGGAAAGGGAACGCTTGACAGATCTGGCCTTTGTCTGGATGGCCCGAGCTGCGGGGCGAGTCCATTCTGCTTCGTCTGATCGTTACCAGGAGGCGCTTCTGTTTGCGTCAGCGCCTGCTGCGGCGCGCGCTCTGGAGATAGAGCGCGCGCAAATATGCGCGGGGCCCCATGGTCGTGCAGAAGGCGCAATGCACCGCGCGGATCCCCCACCTCGTAGCGGGGGCATTCGGCCAGCATGATGGTTATCCTCTGTCTGCGGCCATAGAATCTTTTCGGCGTGGGTTCCAGGAGCACGACGCAATCGATGATGAACGCTTGTTGCCGTTTACGGCCCGAGAGATATATGGGAAGACGTCGGTTGCTTCGCAGCAGCTAGGGGGCTTTGGCTTTGGAAACCAAGCGTTGCCTCTGCATGAGCTCGCGGATACTTTCGTCATGGCGCAGGAGTGCGCCTTCGGCCCCAGCGTCGGCGGCAGGTTCATGGAGTCCCAGCACAATCTCGTGAAACAGTCAATATTACGTGGGCTTCGCTTCCTCCGGTCAGCAATGGCAGCGGTTCGACAGCGTTCAGCCCCGCTCGCGAACATGGCGGAGTCGGAGGAGGGATTCGATCGGCTGGTCATGCATTGGAGCAGCCGCAAAGTAGATCGTGACTTTCTGAGCTGGCAAGTGAGCGGGCTGCAGGTGGACAACAAGCCGTTACGAGATCACCTCGCCCGCATCCATGGCTACGACGTGCACGTGCGCTACCAGGACTTCGTAGAGAGCGCCAACGCAAGTGAGAAGGTTAGAGCACTGGAGGACAAGTTGCAGCCCCTTGAGGACTTCGAGCTCTCACCTGCCATGAGGCTTGCGATTGTATGTATCAGTGGGCGCATTTGCATTGACACAGTGCATAGCTTGCCCAATGATGCGTTCAACCTCGGAGCGATGCCGCTTGAGGACTTTGGCGAGGGACTGTCATTGCAGTATGCAGGCATCATGGATTGCTTGGTTCGTTCGGTCGCGCCGTTGCCAGGCGTGGAAGTGTCGACGTTCTTCGAGGTTGTGGAGGTCCGCCCTGCGAGACAATTACAAGTACGCCAGCTGCACGCACAGAAAATCAACACCCAGGTCAAAGTACGAAATCTGCATTGTGTTCCGCGTCCTGCGATACCTGGCATGGGGGTGCTCGACGCCACTGCTCCTGGGTTGCAATGCACGTCGCTAGACCTCTTGGCGTTTCGCACCGATGTTTGTTGAAGAATGTATTAGCCACGTGGTGCAAATGGGCCACAGCGGAGCATGCGCTTGCGCGCGCCATTCGGCCGCCACCAGGGTTCCGCGCAATGGAGCCGCTGGCGCTACCTGTCCATGATGCCCCAGCTGCCCCGCTTGCCTTGCTAGCGCCCCCAGCAGAAGCTGCGCATGCTGTACCTCCAGAGCCACCTGCCGATGTTGTACCCTATGGCGATGGCAGTGGCAACGTTGTCAAAATTCGAACTGTCGGTTGCGTTCCTGCTGGGCATCGCGCTCACCAACTCATCGAAGAACTTCTGACGCGCAGAGCCTTTGCAGAACTTGGGACATTCGTCAGCCCCGCGGCGTTTGACAACTTCAATGCTGCGGCCGTGGGCGAACTGAGCCGACGTGGGCGCGCGCAATCACGTGTTGACGACTTCGGCGGGACATGCCTGGCATTGCGCCTGGCCTGCGTGAGGTCCGATCTCGCAGCCTTCTGTTGCGACTCCCGTCTGGAGTTGGATATCGCCGTCAATATCCCAGCCAGTGGCGCTGGAAAGGTGGAGTTGGCTCATTGGCTCATGCAGAATGGCTGGGGGCGGAAGGGCGACGTCGGCCCTTTTGCATTGAAAGACGGCCCCATGGCTTTGCTGGACGCGGTTCTAAGCCGGCCCCGATCGCAGCTTCTATGTATGATTCGTTGTGAAGAACTGTTCGGAAAGCCTGG